TGAGCAGGGAGCCCGATGCAGGACTCGATCCAGGGACTCCAGGATCATGACCTGAGCCGAAGGCAGTCGCTTAACCAACTGAGCCACCCAGGCGCCCTTCTGGTTTCTTTCTTATCCAGTGCATTAAACACTATAGTTAGTTGACAAGTCAGTTAAAATAGGGAATAAAAAATATGATACACAGACAACTTAAATACTTTAACTTCAAACATTGGGCAATTTTTTGCCACCCCCTGTTTGAGAAGTCTTACGTGACTCTGCTGATATAAATAATCGTTCCCTGCTCTGTTAACTTTGTATCTTTTATATTGTTCTGTTATTGCATGTGTTACACTGTAATGTCATTATTTCTTCCTGTGTTCGTCTCCCTGATCTGCTCTGTGTGCTTTGAGGTTTGGGTCCTCTGGGCCTGGGTCTTGGCATATCCTTTCCCCCAGGACTTGCACCTGACGGGGCATATAATAGGTGTGTGCTGGGTATTTACTGAACTAATCTCTATTTGTAGTATAACATGGTGGAATCTAATACTGTCTTAGAAACACATTTCCAGTTTTGACTGGTATTGAGGAAGTATTTCTCTGTGGCTGTTTTGAGAGTAAAATCTTACTTTGATTTGTAAAATTTTAAGTTTGAATCTAATGGCTTCCTGGATGTCAAGGGCAGATTTAGATGATTTGATACTGAGGAACGATGATGCTCTCTCTTTCTTCTCTCCAGGACATTATTAGACTTCATCATACGGGAGCATTTCCCCTCAGTGAAGGTCACAGAACCTAACAGATATGTGGTAAGTTTTTTTTTTTTTTTTTAAGATTTTATTTATTTATTTGACAGAGAGAGACACAGTGAGAGAGGGAACACAAGTGAGGGAGAGGAAGAAGCAGGCTTCCCACGGAGCAGGGAGCCTGATGCGGGGCTCGATCCCAGGACCTTGGGGTCATGACCTGAGCCGAAGGCAGACGCTTAACTGACTGAGCCACCCAGGTGCCCTGAACTGGTTGTATTCTATGCAAATTGTTGAAATTGGCATTCTGTATTTTCTGTACAGACAATGATAATGTGTGTAAATGACAGTTTTATTTCTTCCACTTCCTTATTTTTTCATCTTTCATTCTTTTTTTTAAGATTTTATTATTTGAGAGAGAGAGAATGAGAGAGATAAAGCACATGAGAGGGGGGAGGGTTAGAGGGAGAAGCAGACTCCCTGCTGAGCAGGGAGCCCGATGTGGGGCTCAATCCCAGGACTCTGGGATCATGACTGGAGCCAAAGGCAGACGCTTAACAACTGAGCCACCCAGGCGCCCCATGTGGTAAGTTTTTAAAGAGAAAGAGCAATACTTGGTTTTATCTCATGGCCCGCCAACATCAGCGGTTACAACTTAGAACTTTACTAAAGGTAGGAAAGGAAATGTAGAACACTTTGAACATTTTGTTAGAGGAGGAGAAGGTGAACCACTTCATAAACAAGACATAGATAAGAAAGTTGTTTTGTTTGAAAGGTATCCAGAGAAAAAGAACAGGTGCTACTACATCCTGATTCTAGATATTCTAGATATTTCTATAGTAGTAATTTTAAAATAAACACAATACGTAACAGGAAAATGTGATTTTCTATTCCCGTGGAAATGATTTGGTCTCCATCACCCTCTTTCATTCTCTTAGCGGCCGCAGAGAAGAGAATTCCATTATTTTTCTTGGTGACTCATTTCAAAGTTTAAGAATTCATTTTGCTTACATTTACCTCCCTTGTGCTGAATTCTAATGCATTTCCTGTTCTTACTGGACATGGAGAAAGCCTGGTCATTATACTGTGTCTGAGCCTTTATATATTATTTCTCGGTGACTAATTCTACGTTCTTCCATTTTTTTCGTACATCAGTTAATTTCCATTCCTTTAGTCATCTTCTGGCATTCTGAATTCTTTCCATGTTCTCCTTGTGACTTAGCAGAAGATCCTAAAAGAGTATACATTCCTGAAAATCTGAAAAATTTCTGAATTTTATTTTAGGATTTTTTCTCTATTGTGGTATCAAAGACGGCACAACTCATTGCCTTGTGGATGTCTGTTGGTTTTGCTCATGGTAAGTCATCTACTGATGTTTCATTTTCCTGATGGGAAAGTAGAGTTAATTTGTTGAACCAGAGGACTTCTTTTTTGTGTACTTTAAAATATTCCCGCTGATGAGCTTCTTAACATTTATGATATATGAATTGGCTCTTAGCAACAGAGAAACAATTTTCTTGTGTTTAAAATGGTTTTGAATGGAACAGTATACACAAAATAGAATAAGCATCCTCAATTCAACAAGGATGTTATTACCTGCATAGCTTTCTTTTTTAAAAAAAGATTTGATTGATTGATTTTAGAGAGAGCATGAGTGAGCAGGGGGAGGGGCAGAGGGGGAGGAAGAGGGACAAGCAGACTCCAGGCTGAGCTCAGAGCCTGACTCCAGAAGCTGGGCTTGATTTCACAATCCCAAGATCAAGACCCGAGTCAAAATCAAGAGTTGGATGCTTAACCAACTGAACCACCCAAGCGCCCCAGCCTGTAAATCTTTTCAACATTGTGGGTACATGTATTATATTTAGGTCTCTTTAAAGCTGTTTATAAAATCTTAATTGTAAGGGGCGCCTGGGTGGCTCAGTCAGTTAAGTGTCTGCCTTCGGCTCAGGTCATGATCTCAGGGTCCTGGGATCGAGCCCTGCATCAGGCTCCCTGCTCCGTGGGAAGCCTGCTTCTCCCTCTCCCACTCCTCCTGCTTGTGTTTCCTCTCTCGCTGTCTCTGTCTGTCAGATAAATAAATAAAATCTTTAAAAAAAAAAAAAATCTTAATTGTAAAAGCACTGCATGCTTTTGATAAAGAATGGTAAGTATAGGGCACCTGGGTGGCTCATTCGGTTAAGTGGCTGTCTCGGGCTCAGGTCATGATCTCAGGGGCCTGGGATTGAGTCCTGTGTCTGGCTCCCTGCTTGGTGGGGAGTCCATTTCTCCCTTTGCCCCTCCCCTCACCCATGCTTGTGTGCTCTCTGTCTCTGGCTCACTCTCTCTCTCAAATAAATAAAAAAATCGTAAAAAAAAAAAAAAAGAATTGGAAGTATACAGAAGTGAGTGTGAATTCCATTCTCCAGGGTAATCATTAGTAACCATTTCGTATCAATTCTTTTGGGCTTTTTGGGGATGACATTCGTACACTTCCTATGAAAAAAGCAGGGCTGGCTTGTGTGTTTGAAGCCACTTAGTGTGTGAAGTTGCATAGGAAGGACTATCTGCCTGAACTAAGAATAACTGAAAAACAAATCACATATGTTCTAATGTCTCTAGATAAATACCAAAAGGGAATCCCACATTGCAAAACTTCTTGAAATCCGCTTGCTTATCAGACACATACTCTGTGTATCTCTCTTGGGGTGGGTTGGGGGAGAGCGGGGTAGGTGTTTCATAGTTTTTGCTCTTATGAACCATAGCACAGCGACTACCTTGCAACTGTATCTTCATATTCCTGAAGGTAACTTTTGAGGACAAACCCCTAATGTGGAATGGCTGGGTTAGAGAGTCTGTACATTTAACATTTTGATAAACAGGGCCATCTTGCTCTGAAAAAGGTTGAAACCCTATATTGGACGCAGTTGCCAAATACCCTGTATTAGGCTGGTGTATCTGTTCCCTGGCTTCCTCCTACCCACACTCCGGCAGCTAGCCCTAGCCCCCTTGCCTGGGAGGGCACACTCCCTCCCCAGTCTGCTAGTGGTCTGCAGCTGAGGACTGTAATGGGGAACATATCCATATTTCCCCCTTTTCCCATCCTTTGGAAATGAATTCATCTTATTCCTTTACTAGTTTCATTTCCATTCCAAGTAACTTACATTTTTAAAAACAAATGGAAGAAATTGAGGATAAGTAAGAAGAAGTTGTATTTCTTGGGGCTTTTGTTCCTGCACTATTTGAAATCTTTGTGGGGGTGGGGTATAAAACAAAAGGCTAAATTTAGTTAAAAGATGTAGTTTTGATATCTATTAAGTTATTTGACATCAACAGTTAAACTTTCTTTTTTTTTTAAAGATTTTATTTATTTATTTGATAGAGAGAGACACAGCGAGAGAGGAAACACAAGCAGGGGGAGTGGGAGAGGGAGAAGCAGGC